TGAGGGGGGCCTCACCGCCCTGAGGGGGGCCACACCGCTCTGAAGGGGCCCACACCGCCCTGAGGGGGGCCACACCGCCCTGAGGGGGGCCACGCCGCCCTGAGGGGGGCCACACCACCCTGAGAGGGGCCACGCCACCCAGAGGGGGGCCACACCGCCCTGAGGGTGGCCACACCGCCCTGAGAGGGGGCCACACCACCCAGAGGGGGCCACACCGCCCTGAGGGGGGCCACATCACCCTGAGGGGGCCACATCACCCTGAGGGGGGCCACACCGCCCTGAGGAGGGCAAGACCGCCCTGAGGGGGGCCACAACACCCTGAGGGGGAGCCAGACCGCCCTGTGTCGGGCCACACCACCCTGAGGGGGGCCACACCAACCAGAGGGGGGCCACACCGCCCTGAGGGGGGCTACACCGCCCTGAGGGGGGCCACACCGCCCTGAGGGTGGGCCACACCACCCTGAGGGGGGCCACACCACCCTGAAGGAGGCCACACCGCCATGAGGGGGGGCCACACCGCCCTGAGGGGGGCCACACCGCCCTGAGGGGGGCCACACCGCTCTGAGGGATCCCACACCGCCCTGAGGGGGGGGCCACACCACCCAGAGGGGCCCACACCGCCCTGAGGGGGGCCACACCGCCCTGCGGGGGGGCCACACCGCCCTGAGGGGGGGCCACACCGCCCTGATGGGGGGCCACACCGCCCTGAGGGGGGGGCCACACCGCCCTGAGGTGGGCCACACCACCCTGAGGGGGGCCACACCGCCCTGAGGGGGGCCACACCGTTCTGAGGGGGGCCACACCGCCCTGAAGGGGGCCACACCGCCCTGAGGGGGGGCCACACCACCCAGAGGAGGGGCCACACCTCCCTGAGGGGGGCCACACCGCCCTGAGAGGGGCCACACCGCCCTGAGGGGGGCCACACCACCCTGAAGGGGGCCACACCGCCCTGGGGGGTTCCACACCACCCTGAGGGGGGCCACACCACCCAGAGGGGGGCCACACCGCCCTGAGGGGGGCCACACCGGCCTGAGAGGGGCCAGACCGCCCTGAGGGGGGCCAGACCGCCCTGTGGCGGGCCACACCACCCTGAGGGGGCCACACCACCCAGAGGGGGGGCCACACCGCCCTGAGGAGGGCCACAAAGCCCTGAGGGGGGCCACACCGCCCTGAGGGGGGGGCCACACCGCCCTGTGGGGGGGGGCCACACCGCCCAGAGGGGGTCCAATACCGCCCTGAGGGGGGCCACACCACCCTGAGGGGGGCCACACCGCCCTGAGGGGGTCCACACCACCCAGAGGGGCGGCCACACCGCCCTGAGGGGTGGCCACACCACCCAGAGGGGGGCCACACCACCCTGAGGTGGGGGCCACACCACCCTGAGGTGGGGGCCACACCACCCTGAGGTGGGGGCCACACCGCCCTGAGGGGGGCCACACCGCCCTGAGGGGGGCCACGCCGCTCTGAGGGGGGCCACTCCGCCCTGAGGGTGGCCATACCGCCCTGAGAGGGGGCCACACCACCCAGAGGGGGGCCACACCGCCCTGAGGGGGGCCACATCACCCTGAGGGGGCCACATCACCCTGAGGGGGGCCACACCGCCCTGAGGAGGGCAAGACCGCCCTGAGGGGGGCCACAACACCCTGAGGGGGAGCCAGACCGCCCTGTGGCAGGCCACACCACCCTGAGGGGGGCCACACCACCCAGAGGGGGGCCACACCGCCCTGAGGGTGGCCACACCGCCCTGAGGGGGGCCACACCACCCTGAGGGGGGCCACACCACCCAGAGGGGGCCACATCACCCTGAGGGGGGCCACACCGCCCTGAGGGGGGCCACACCGCTCTGAGGGGTCCCACGCCGCCCTGAGGGGGGCCACACCACCCAGAGGGGCCCACACCGCCCTGAGGGGGGCCACACCGCCCTGAGGGGGGGCCACACCGCCCTGAGGGGGGGGGCCACACCGCCCTGAGGGGGGCCACACCGCCCTGAGGGGGGCCACACCGCCTAAGGTGGGGCCACACCGCCCTTAGGGGGCCACACCGCCCTGAGGGGGTGCCACACCACCCAGAGGGGGGCCACACCGCCCTGAGGGTGGCCACACCACCCTGAGGGGGCCACACCGCCCTGAGAGGGGCCAGACCGCCCTGAGGGGGGCCAGACCGCCCTGTGGCGGGCCACACCACCCTGAGGGGGGCCACACCACCCAGAGGGGGGGCCACACCGCCCTGAGGAGGGCCACAAAGCCCTGAGGGGGGCCACACCGCCCTGAGGGGGGGCCACACCGCCCTGTGGGGGGGCCACACCGCCCAGAGGGGGTCCCATACCGCCCTGAGGGGGGGCCACACCACCCTGAGGGGGGCCACACCGCCCTGAGGGGGTCCACACCACCCAGAGGGGCGGCCACACCGCCCTGAGGGGTGGCCACACCACCCAGAGGGGGGCCACACCGCCCTGAGGGGGGCCACGCCGCCCTGAGGGGGCCACTCCGCCCTGAGGGTGGCCACACCGCCCTGAGAGGGGGCCACACCACCCAGAGGGGGGCCACACCGCCCTGAGGGGGGCCACACCGCCCTGAGGATAGCAAGACCGCCCTGAGGGGGGCCACAACACCCTGAGGGGGAGCCAGACCGCCCTGTGGCAGGCCACACCACCCTGAGGGGGGCCACACCACCCAGAGGGGGGCCACACCGCCCTGAGGGTGGCCACACCGCCCTGAGGGGGGCCACACCACCCTGAGGGGGCCACACCACCCAGAGGGGGCCACATCACCCTGAGGGGGGCCACACCGCCCTGAGGGGGGCCACACCGCTCTGAGGGGTCCCACGCCGCCCTGAGGGGGGCCACACCACCCAGAGGGGCCCACACCGCCCTGAGGGGGGCCACACCGTCCTGAGGGGGGGCCACACCGCCCTGAGGGGGGCCACACCGCCCTGAGGGGGGCCACACCGCCCTGAGGGGGGACCACACCGCCTAAGGGGGGCCACACCGCCATGGGGGGTTCCACACCACCCTGAGGGGGCCACACCATCCAGAGGGGGGCCACACCGCCCTGAGGGGGGCCACACCGCCCTGAGAGGGGCCAGACCGCCCTGTGGGGGGCCAGACCGCCCTGTGGCGGGCCACACCACCATGAGGGGATCCACACCACCCAGAGGGGGGGCCACACCGCCCTCAGGGGGGCCACAAAGCCCTGAGAGGGGCCACACCGCACTGAGGGGTGGCCACACCGCCCTGAGGGGGGCCACACCGCCCTGAGTGGGGGCTACACCACCCAGATGGGGGCCCACACCGCCCTGAGGGGGGCCACACCACCCAGAGGGGGGCCACACCGCCCTGAGGGGGGCCACACCACCCAGAGGGGGGCCACACCGCCCTGAGGGGGCCACACCACAAAGAGGGGGGCCACACCACCCTGAGGTGGGGGCCACACCGCCCTGAGGGGGGCCACGCCGCCCTGAGGGGGGCCACACCACCCTGAGGGGGTCCACGCCACCCAGAGAGGGGCCACACCGCCCTGAGGGTGGCCACGCCGCCCTGAGAGGGGGCCACACCACCCAGAGGGGGGCCACACCGCCCTGAGGGGGGCCACATCACCCTGAGGGGGCCACATCACCCTGAGGGGGGCCACACCGCCCTGAGGAGGGCCACACCGCCCTGAGGAGGGCAAGACCGCCCTGAGGGGGGCCACAACACCCTGAGGGGGAGCCAGACCGCCCTGTGGCGGGCCACACAAATCTGAGGGGGGGCCATACCACCTAGACGGGGCCACACCGCCCTGAGGGGGGGGCCACACCGCCCTGAGGGGGGCCACACCACCCTGAGGGGGGACACACCACCCAGAGGGGGCCACATCACCCTGAGGGGGGCCACACCGCCCTGAGGGGGCCACACCGCCCTGAGGGGGGCCACACCGCCCTGAGGGGGGCCACACCACCCTGAGGAGGAGCCAGACCGCCCTGTGGCGGGCCACACCACCCTGAGGGGGGCCACACCGCCCTGAGAGGGGCCACACCACCCAGAAGGGGGCCCCACCGCCCAGAGGGGGGCCCCACCACCCAGAGGGGGCCACACCACCCTGAGGGGGGCCACACCACCCTGAGGGGGGCCACACCACCCTGAGGGGGGCCCACACCGCCCTGAGGGCCTCACACCGCCCTGAGAGGGGTCCACACCGCCCTGAGAGGGGGTCCACACCGCCCTGACGGACCCACACCACCCTGAGGGGAGCAACACCGCCCTGAGGGCCCCACACCGCCTGGAATAACTCTATCACCGCTCACTGGCTACTTAATAGCGTTGTTACCTGCACATTTCACGTGTAAATTATCCTACCCGGCGTAAGTCTTAGTTTTTGTTATCACTGTGGTCCTCTTTGAGCAGGGAGGGCGAGGAGGCGCTCCTGGCGAGGCTCTTAGCGAGAGGAGGTCCACCCCTCTTTGGCGGGGTGGAGTTAAGGTCATATTTGTGTGGGTTTTGTGGTCCCCTCCGGTGGGGTGTGTCTGTGGCCACTGCCGGAGGCGAGTTACTAAGTAACTCTGTTGTTCCTTACTCCCAACCCTCCTCTTATCTGTGGCAGGTGGCTTCTGTTATATGTGGCAGGTGGCTTCTGTTATCTGTGGCAGGTGGCTTCTGTTATCTATGGCAGGTGGGTTCTGTTATCTGTGGCAGGTGGGTTCTGTTATCTGTGGCAGGTGGCTTCTGTTATCTGTGGCAGGTGGCTTCTGTTATCTGTGGCAGGTGGCTTCTGTTATCTGTGGCAGGTGGCTTCTGTTATATGTGACAGGTGGCTTCTGTTAGCTCTGGCAGATGGCTACAAACCCTCCCTCAACACACCCGAAGCCTCTCAAGGCCACCACAACACCTTATAGCGACAACCAACATATTTGGTGCAGCGGTGAAGGCCTATCAACCCCCTTGAGCGGTATTAAAACCACCACAACTGACCCACACTTAACAGTAAAGACTTAACCAACAACATGAGAGAGAGAGAGAGACTCACCGTACACTTGTGAGGCTTCTCTCCGGTGTGACGCCGCATGTGGACCACCAACATGTACTGCGCCTTGAAGGGTTTCTCCTCGCGCGAACAGTCCTTCCACCGGCACACGAACGACTTCTTGTTGGCGTGGATGTGGTCGTTATTGAGGTGCTGGACGGGAGACGGAGGGAGATATTAGCGTCACAATATGTCCTTGTGATAACATATACAAGGAAACAAGGCAATTATCTAGAGAAAGCACTATGAGATGACATGTAAATATTCTCCTAAGGTAACCTCTGGGAAACAATCATTATAGGGCGCTGAAGGGGCCTGAAACAATCATTATAGAGCCTTATTATATTTCCCCTCAATTGTGAGGGGAAACAATCATTATAGGGAGCTGGAGGGAAAGTCGTGTGAGGGGCGGCCAAACTCGCAGATATTTTCATAAAGCATATTCTATACGACTTAAAATGATAGAATAAAGAAGACAGGCTCATCGTATGGGTGCAAAGGCAACTATCTGAACCCTAGGGAAGGAACAGAGGGAATATGATCACTATATATAAGATATTGATGGGAGGGGCGAATGGTCAGCCTCTTTAAAGTGAGCGGAAACAGGACAAGATGACATACATCGAGACTGAAAAAATATATATTCTTAAACTATAAAGTACATGGAACAATGTACGAGTAACATTGTTCCACGTAACACATGAGGAAATACTCGCACCATGAACCGTTCGTCAAGTGTAATGCGCTGAATCAAAACATGAAGTTGTGGAAGCCACCTCCGTCTCCACAACAATAAGGCCAGACGCGACAATGAATGTGAACGTCAGAATACTGTAACACAACCGCTATGACCAGACCAGAGGCCGGGGTCCCGAGCACTACACCTCCCTCAGTTACAGACAGATGTGTATATATACCCTTACCACAGGGAGCCAGAGCCCGTCCTTCTCGCCTCACCTGACACATGCCGCCCACACCACCACCACCACCACCAGGCACACCTGTGGGGAGTACCCACTGCGACGGGTGGTAAGCTGCCGATGTTGGGGAAGGGAGGTGGGGAAGAGAGGGGGTTCTGGCATCTGTGAAGGGCCGTAGTAACTCACAAATGCAGGCGATGAGTCACAATAACGTGACTAAAGTATGTTGACCAGACCACACACTAGAAGGTGAAGGGACGACGACGACGTTTCGGTCCGTCCTGGACCATTCTCAAGTCGATTGTCAATTCCATTCTCACAATCGACTTGAGAATGGTCCAGGACGGACCGAAACGTCGTCGTCGTCCCTTCACCTTCTAGTGTATGGTCTGGTCAACTCAGAAATGGACCTCCTAAGACCCCTCGTAAGACCAATTCCCCACATTGTGGCCACCTGCACCACACTCAACCACCAACATATTCAACAAGGTGATCCCCCGCACCCACAACATGGTTAACGCTTCTGACGTCCTCTCCACCTTATTTAACATTCCCATTGCTGAACGCAAGTCACAACAAACAAATGACCCAACTCACGATTTATGGGACAAATTACTGGGTAACATAATAGAGATGTGGGATCACTGGATTGTTTCAAGCGTAGGTTAGTCAAAACAATTTGTTCGGGTGGATATAAATAGGAGCTGGCTCGTATGGACCAATAGGAGCTGGCTCGTATGGACCAATAGGAGCTGTCTCGTATGGACCAATAGCAGCTGTCTCCGTATGGACCAATAGGAGCTGCCTCGTATGGACCAATAGGAGCTGGCTCGTATGGACCAATAGCAGCTGTCTCCGTATGGACCAATAGGAGCTGTCTCGTATGGACCAATAGCAGCTGTCTCCGTATGGACCAATAGGAGCTGCCTCGTATGGACCAATAGCAGCTGTCTCCGTATGGACCAATAGGAGCTGCCTCGTATGGACCAATAGGAGCTGGCTCGTATGGACCAATAGGAGCTGTCTCGTATGGACCAATAGGAGCTGGCTCGTATGGACCAATAGGAGCTGGCTCGTATGGACCAATAGGAGCTGCCTCGTATGGACCAATAGCAGCTGTCTCGTATGGACCAATAGGAGCTGCCTCGTATGGACCAATAGGAGCTGCCTCGTATGGACCAATAGCAGCTGCCTCATATTGACCAATAGCAGCTGCCTCGTATGGACCAATAGGAGCTGCCTCGTATGGACCAATAGGAGCTGCCTCGTATGGACCAATAGCAGCTGCCTCGTATGGACCAATAGGAGCTGCATCGTATGGACCAATAGCAGCTGCCTCGTATGGACCAATAGCAGCTGCCTCGTATGGACCAATAGCAGCTGCCTCGTATGGACCAATAGCAGCTGCCTCGTATGGACCAATAGCAGCTGCCTCGTATGGACCAATAGCAGCTGCCTCGTATGGACCAATAGCAGCTGCCTCGTATGGACCAATAGCAGCTGCCTCGTATGGACCAATAGCAGCTGCCTCGTATGGACCAATAGGAGCTGCCTCGTATGGACCAATAGCAGCTGCCTCGTATGGACCAATAGCAGCTGCCTCGTATGGACCAATAGGAGCTGCCTCGTATGGACCAATAGCAGCTGCCTCGTATGGACCAATAGGAGCTGCCTCGTATGGACCAATAGCAGCTGCCTCGTATGGACCAATAGCAGCTGCCTCGTATGGACCAATAGGAGCTGCCTCGTATGGACCAATAGGAGCTGCCTCGTATGGACCAATAGGAGCTGGCTCGTATGGACCAATAGGAGCTGCCTCGTATGGACCAATAGGAGCTGCCTCGTATGGACCAATAGGAGCTGCCTCGTATGGACCAATAGGAGCTGCCTCGTATGGACCAATAGCAGCTGCCTCATATTGACCAATAGCAGCTGCCTCGTATGGACCAATAGGAGCTGCCTCGTATGGACCAATAGCAGCTGCCTCGTATGGACCAATAGGAGCTGCCTCGTATGGACCAATAGCAGCTGCCTCGTATGGACCAATAGCAGCTGCCTCGTATGGACCAATAGCAGCTGCCTCGTATGGACCAATAGCAGCTGCCTCGTATGGACCAATAGCAGCTGCCTCGTATGGACCAATAGCAGCTGCCTCGTATGGACCAATAGCAGCTGCCTCGTATGGGCCAATAGCAGCTGCCTCGTATGGACCAATAGCAGCTGCCTCGTATGGACCAATAGCAGCTGGCTCGAATGGACCAATAGGAGCTGCCTCGTATGGACCAATAGGAGCTGCCTCGTATGGACCAATAGCAGCTGGCTCGTATGGACCAATAGGAGCTGCCTCGTATGGACCAATAGGAGCTGCCTCGTATGGACCAATAGCAGCTGCCTCGTATGGACCAATAGCAGCTGCCTCGTATGGACCAATAGGAGCTGCCTCATATGGACCAATAGCAGCTGCCTCGTATGGACCAATAGCAGCTGGCTCCTATGGACCAATAGGAGCTGCCTCATATGGACCAATAGGAGCTGCCTCGTATGGACCAATAGCAGCTGCCTCGTATGGACCAATAGCAGCTGCCTCGCATGGACCAATAGCAGCTGCCTCGTATGGACCAATAGCAGCTGCCTCGTATGGACCAATAGCAGCTGCCTCGTATGGACCAATAGGAGCAGTTTATTAAAAAAATAAACTTTTACCTCAGCATTTCCAGGTTTAATATCCCAGTTTAATCTAGTATAATTAAAGTCTCCTATGATGCAGACAATTGATATGTGAATATGAATCACAAACACACACACACACACACACACCCAGATGAGCCACAGAGACGTTAGAAAGAATTTTTTCAGTGTCAGAGTAGTTAATAAATGGAATGCATTAGGAAGTGATGTGGTGGAGGCTGACTCCATACACAGTTTCAAATGTAGATATGATAGAGCCCAGTAGGCTCAGGAATCTGTACACCAGTTGATTGACGGTTGAGAGGCGGGACCAAAGAGCCAAAGCTCAACCCCCGCAAGCACAATTAGGTGAGTACAATTAGGTGAGTACACACACACACTGGAACTGGAAAAGGTTCAGCAAAGTTTGCGACGAGGCTTGTCCCAAAGTTACGAGGGATGGGATATGAGGAGCGCCTGAAGGAACTGAACCTTACGGCACTAGATAAAAAAAAAGAAGGGAGAGAGGGGGGGGGGGATATGATAGGAACGTATAAAATACTGACAGTTGAGAGGCGGGACCAAAGACCCAGAGCTCATTCCCCGCAAGCATAAATTAGGTGAATAGGTGAGTACACACAGGACAAGGGGTGGGAGGAGGCGTGGGGTGGGGGGGAGGGGGTAAGGTGGTTGGAGGCGCGTTGTAATTAGTGGCACAAACCAGGTTGTTGGAGGATGAGTTGAGGGCAAAAACCTGCATCTCGTCCATCTGGAGGCTGGTGCGGGTGGTCGACTTCTCACTATATAAGGCCCATCATGCATCTACCCCCCCTCCCCCCTCCCTACCCCCCTCCCCCCTACCCCCCCCCCCCACACACACACACACTGGTCAGTGTCCGCGAGTCCACAAGCAAGAGGGACCCGGGTTCGATTCCCGTGCGACACACAGCAACAAATAGGCAGTCTTCTTTCGCCTGATGCATCTGCTCACCTTTGACAGTAAATAGGTACTTGGAAGTTAGACCGGTGCTATGGGCTGCATCCTGGGGATGTGTATGAAATATATATATATATATATATATATATATATATATATATATATATATATATATATATATATATATATATATATATATATATTTAAATATGATAGGTCGAGAATCAGTATATTAGACGGTTAGAAAGGTGGGGTCCAAGAGCTCAAGTTTTTTAAGTCAAGTTTGAAGAGTTTTTCACGTTATGGCTACCAATGCAGCCTATTTAAGTAGCGACTCACATATATTCCCGTTTTCTATGCATAGGACACTAGGGATTCTAGGGTAGGTGGAATGTTTGGGTTAATGGGCTGGGGGTGGCACCTGGCTAATACTGTGTGGTGTCTCCTGCAGGTAAAGTCTGGCTTGTGATGTGCTCCAGAGTCTTCTGCCTTAGTGACAGTGGCAGTGTTGGTGTCCGTGAGACCTGTCCGGTCAACAGACACGGTTAATACTGTCCAGTCAACACTGTCACGGTTAATGCTGTCCGGACAACACTGTCACGGTTAATACTGTCCAGTCAACACTGTCA